GTATGATCTGTGCATGAAAAAAATAAAGATTGAAATTGCATCATAATTTATGGATTTCATTTTTGCATAATTGAATTTCCTTGTTATTTTGATGCAGTTCATGGTTGAATGAAAATTTTTGTTATTGTTGCTATTGCTGCTGTGGTAAGAACATATAAAAAACAAAAGAAGAAGCGTGATTTATGCCTACAACAACAATAACAATGCGAAATATACTTTTTTTTTTATTAAAAGCACTGAAATTGTTGAGCATAATGCTGTAATTCATGCCCATTGTGATTTTAATTTGAGGCTTCTCATGCCGCCCCGACACTACAAAACAAAATATAGCTAAATAGATAGATATAAAAGTTATTTTATAGATTTATACATGAGAATTTTCTATTCCGTTCTCAAAATGCCAATTGCAATTTTATGTGTGTAAGGCTTTTTTTCATAAAATCGATAATATCATGGATGATCATCATCAACACCATTGGATATAGTATGTAGGAAAATTAACAAGTCTGCACAATGTAGTCCCATGAACATTATATGAGATTCTATATGAGTCTCAAAATGCACACAAAATGCTAATGCAAAAGTTCATTTACCATATCCTCACACATATTTAGTAAATGAAAATTTATAGCTAGCATGTTGACAAATTTGTAAAAATTTTAGCACAAACTTAAATCCATGGAGAGATGAGAGGACTTTGAGATACATACAGTAATCTCAGCATGAGAATAAATTTCAATGCACTTTTGCACAAAACATAGATACGGATACACTACTTGTATTCAATGATAACAACTAACAACATGCGACAATGGCTCTTATGGTAGTTCCAAATAGATTTACGTATGAATAGTAATTTTCATGAGAGATTTTGGATTGAGAGGAAACTAGACGCATTTTTGAAGTCGACCTAGGTCCATGGCTATGAAGAGGGCATTACACAAATTGTATCTTGACGTTGAAGACTGGCGGAAGCCATATATAGTCAATCAGCGACATTGATCGACGCATTAGGTTTCGAATGTTATTAAAATCCTTTAATTTCTTTCAAATTCCTCAGATTTGAAGCTACACAATCAAAATCTCATCAACAATATGCAATAGGAATCTTCCTAGTTCTTATATCTAGCATACATCAACCATACAATAACCACCCACATTGCAAAATCAAGCTCACAACAACATGCGACAATGCATTTTTGAAGTCGGCCTAGGTCCATGGCTATGAAAAGGACGTTACCTAAATTGTATCTTGACGTTAAAGACTGCCGGAAGCCAGATATGGTCAATCAGAGACATTGATCGACGCATTAGGTTTCGAATGTTATTAAAATCCTTTAATTTCTTTCAAATTACTCAGATTTGAAGCTCCACAATCAAAATCTCATCAACAATATACAATCGGAATCTTCCTAGTTCTTATATCTAGCATACATCAACCATACAATAACCACCCACATTACAAAATCAAGCTCACAACAACATGCGACAATACATTTTTGAAGTCGACCTAGGTCCATGGCTATGAAGAGGACATTACACAAATTGTATCTTGACGTTGAAGACTGGCGGAAGCCATATATAGTCAATCAGCAACATTGATCGACGCATTAGGTTTCGAATGTTATTAAAATCCTTTAATTTCTTTCAAATTCCTCAGATTTGAAGCTACACAATCAAAATCTCATCAACAATATGCAATAGGAATCTTCCTAGTTCTTATATCTAGCATACATCAACCATACAATAACCACCCACATTGCAAAATCAAGCTCACAACAACATGCGACAATGCATTTTTGAAGTCGACCTAGGTCCATGGCTATGAAGAGGACGTTACATAAATTGTATCTTGACGTTAAAGACTGGCGGAAGCCAGATATGGTCAATCAGAGACATTGATCGACGCATTAGGTTTCGAATGTTATTAAAATCCTTTAATTTCTTTCAAATTGCTCAGATTTGAAGCTACACAATCAAAATCTCATCAACAATATGCAATAGGAATCTTCCTAGTTCTTATATCTAGCATACATCAACCATACAATAACCACCCACATTGCAAAATCAAGCTCACAACAACATGCGACAATGCATTTTTGAAGTCGACCTAGGTCCATGGCTATGAAGAGGACATTACACAAATTGTATCTTGACGTTGAAGACTGGCGGAAGCCATATATAGTCAATCAGCGACATTGATCGACGCATTAGGTTTCGAATGTTATTAAAATCCTTTAATTTCTTTCAAATTCCTCAGATTTGAAGCTACACAATCAAAATCTCATCAACAATATGCAATAGGAATCTTCCTAGTTCTTATATCTAGCATACATCAACCATACAATAACCACCCACATTGCAAAATCAAGCTCACAACAACATGCGACAATGCATTTTTGAAGTCGACCTAAGTCCATGGCTATGAAAAGGACGTTACATAAATTGTATCTTGACGTTAAAGACTGCCGGAAGCCAGATATGGTCAATCAGAGACATTGATCGACGCATTAGGTTTCGAATGTTATTAAAATCCTTTAATTTCTTTCAAATTTCTCAGATTTGAAGCTACACAATCAAAGTCTCATCAACAATATGCAATAGGAATCTTCCTAGTTCTTATATCTAGCATACATCAACCATACAATAACCACCCACATTGCAAAATCAAGCTCACAACAACATGCGACAATGCATTTTTGAAGTCGACCTAGGTCCATGGCTATAAAGAGGACGTTACATAAATTGTATCTTGACGTTAAAGACTGGCGGAAGCCAGATATGGTCAATCAGCGACATTGATCGACGCATTAGGTTTCGAATGTTATTAAAATCCTTTAATTTCTTTCAAATTGCTCAGATTTGAAGCTACACAATCAAAATCTTATCAACAATATACAATCGGAATCTTCCTATTTCTTATATCCAGCATATATCAACCATACAATAACCACCCACATTGCAAAATCAAGCTCACAAAAACATGCGACAATGCATTTTTGAAGTCAACCTAGGTCCATGGCTATGAAGAGGACGTTACATAAATTGTATCTTGACGTTGAAGACTGGCAGAAGCCAGATATAGTCAATCAGCGACATTGATCGACGCATTAGGTTTCGAATGTTATTAAAATCCTTTAATTTCTTTCAAATTGCTCAGATTTGAAGCTACACAATCAAAATCTCATCAACAATATACAGTCGGAATCTTCCTAGTTCATACATCAACCTTACAATAACCACCCACATTGCACAATCAAGCTCACAATTTCAATATAAAATTATGCTAAAAAGTGGAATTAAATGAGGAAATTTTCTATGTCTAATGCCGTTCTATTCCTTCTCAAACCTCAAACAAAAAACATGAAAAGCATATTGTGGATAGTTTTGTGTGTAAAAGTCTCATCTACATACACGCTCCGCATCTTTTCACCAATTTAACAAAAAAAAACTTTTTCGATTTTGAATGGTGAGATAATTAAAAGTTTTTTAAACTGCATTCGGAATCGTACAGACCGAGAAATAAAAGTGACAACAAGCTGTATAAAAATAAAAATTCATTTCAACTTCTGTGAAATTTAATACATTTTTTCAGCATTTCCAAAAAAATTCTTTTCGTTTCTCTCACGAACATAATTCTTTTTGTCTTTTTTATTTATTTCACTCCTCATGGCACATATTGAAGTTTATTGAAAACCTGTTATCATGTGAGTGCTGAATTAAAAATTATGATGTGGCTCAAATTACAGTCCCAAAATAAAAGAAGAGAAGAGAGAAGAAGTCTTAAATATGATTCACTTACTTTACACCTTTTTCAATTCAGAAAATTACCTTTCGAACGTTTGTTGATGCCTTTTTATTGGCTTCTTTAACACAACGGAACAAAAAAATAAAGAATAAGTTGAATGCGAAGGGAAAAACAAAAGAAGATTATTAGGTAACAAAAGACGATGTGTAGACAGCGAGAATAAAAATTTAAAACTACCTTTTTTGCTTTTTTTTCGGGATTGAATTTTGATAGGTTTGGAAACTAGGCTGCGAAGGGATTAGGTTGGACCTTTTTTTAAGCTTAACTGCAGCCATGAATGTATTTCAAGGATTACATAGCCGCATGGCACTTCAGGATGCTAGACCAACTCCTTATATATATGTATATATCTTATACTTAGCCATTGATCTAGAGGTGCGAGATTCAATTCCCGCTTGAGCCAAATCATTTGGTGAATTACTTGATTTTGAAAGATCACTCTAAGGCATCCCCTAGTTGAGATTTAATTACACTATAATAAGATAATAACTGCAGAATTTCATCAACAAAGGATCTGAAGAATACAAAGCACCTTTGTAATCCAATATTGAAGATCCAGTGCACCCCAATTTCATCAAAATGCTCTCGAAACAAAAAAAAAACATTATTCATTAAACAGACATCAAAACTAATCAATCATCCCATCCAACTTACACTTTCAATGAAATATCCCACAGCGTCTAATCCTCAAACTTCCTTTCCAACACTTCTTTTACATTTCAAATCCACACATAGCTATGATAATTTGATAATTTATAAGGTGTGAAGGTTAAAACACAAGAAGTGATGATGGATTTCGATATTGATTAACGATTTGTCCATCTTCTAACTGAGTATATAATTTTTATGGCTACCAATCGAAAACATATTCAATCTATATGATGTAAACACCTGCCTGCCTCAAATTACGCTTCAATATCGATTTGTTTAGATTGTCTTATTTTTTATTTTGTTCCTGACATTTGGATATTTTTGATTCATTACTTCTAACACTTCATGCAAACAGTGATGGCTATTATATATAATTGCGAGCGAAAACCCTAAGAGCAACATATTTTTTTTAATTTTATTGCAATAAAACATGAAAAATCATTAGAAACACCTTGAGCTTCGATTTCAAACACAAAAAATGAACCATTCGACGATAAAAAAAAGCTCTTTTTTCGCCATCTAACTTTTTCTCATTTGATTTTTAATTTGAGATCTCTGAGAAATACAAGAATTTTTTAATTAAAATGAACGAAAATGAAATTGTTGTTGAAATTGAAAAATAACATTCAATGAGATCAAAGCCAATGAAAAGAACAAAAAAATGCTTTGGAGAGAGATTTTTTGAGAGCAATTCATGTCTAATTTCACTTCCATGATGTTCAGTTTGAGCTGCGATGATCTATGAGACTATACAATGGAGCTATGAATCTTTTAAGAAATATAAATTGAAAGTTTCAGAGTTAAGTTCAAGCTAAACATGAACTTATGAGATTAGCCACAATACCTCACTCAAATAGGTCATTAATCAAGAAGAACCACTTCCATCCAGAACCAATCATCAAGATAAAATGCGCCTTAGCCTTCATAACCTCAAAATCATCTCTCAATCTTTTTTTTCGGACAGGATGAAAACAGATAAAATGGCAAAGTTTTTATTTGAACAGAAAGCTGAAAATTAAATGGAAATTCAATGCTCCTTCTTTCCTTTATCAAGTTGATTCCATCGAGTGCTCTGTAATTATAGAAAACAAGAAAGAATAATAAGCTTACACAATCGAGAATTTGTCGAATATTGATAGCTGATAACATGAAACAAATTACTTTGTATTGAATTTTTTTTTTTGTTTCTTTCAACTTCGAATATTGTTTTACAAATGAGGATTAAAAAGGGAATTGTAGAAAGCTTCAGGTTGAAATTTGTTTAATTAATTGTCTAACAAAAAGGTCAGTAGTTGTTAAGGATTGTTTGAACTGAATGATTCTGTAAGGATATTGAATCTCGTCTTATGGATGATTGTGATTTTATCTAAGATGAAGCTTTAGATTTCGTGCTACTTGGAAACAAAGCTTATTGTATTGTAGATGTAGATGAGATGAGTCTTGAAGTGTTGGTTGTGAGTGTGCCAATGGTTGGATGATTTGTGATGCTTGTTCTGATTTTTGGCAACGGTTTTTTATGCACACTATCAAAAATGTGATTTTAAAGCTTTTTTGCTATCAAAACATGGTCATTAAATTAGATCTTACCTAATCTATGGTAATTCACGATCTAAACATCCGCAAACTGTAGTAACTCTCCAAAAAAACAGCCTTTGGCTCATCTTATCGTTTACATTATTAAAATAATTCCAGCTACATTCCATCTTCGTTATCTTCCATCTCAATGAAGCTAGTTTAATATAAAATCAATAAAACTAAAATAACTGATGAGGTCAATTGTTGTAAATCATTAAAATTTGATTAAAGCAATTTATTTCCGAAAATGTATCAATTATTATAGATATTGTCTTCTTGTTAATTTATCAAAATTTTATTATATTCTAAAATTAAATTCAACATTTTGAGTTATTAAATGGAAAACTTTAGGTGTAGGAAGGATGGAATCATTGAAGGCGTATATAATGTATTGAAATTCAGTACAATATGAAATTTTCGCTCATTTGAAAACAAATGAACATTTTGGATTTTTTTTTAAAATAAATATTTAATATTTGAAAATGCCAATTTGAAATATTTATAAGTTAAGATACGATAAAAATATATATTTTTTCATATTCTATGTCAGAATTTTAAATGAATTGATGTTGTTGGATTTTTTTTATTGCCGTCAGAGGGAAAATTATGGATCAAGGTTGGCAATTTATTTGAATAATGTGTGAAAAATCAGAGGTTAATGTTAGATTTTATACTTGAATTTCGGATGATGGTTTTTATTTTAAGAAAATAAATTTTTTTAAGAAAAAACTAGATCTATTATCATGAGTTTTGAATGAGGCCCTAACCCTAAGAATGCTATGATGTCGTCTCCCTAGATAAGAGTGTTCCAAACTATGTGTCGCGACACACTAGTAAGCCGCAAAACAATTCGGAAAATCTTACGAAGCGTACGGTTTTGATCATAGCTTAGCTTCAAGCTGTGTCGCCGACCGAAAAAATAAGCAAGATGCTGCTTTAGGCACTGCTAAGTTAGCAATGTTTTCCTTCAAAAATTAAAACATGTTTAGAGGGAGAGTGTGGGGGGAATGGGAGAGCTCATAAAGAACCAACTCAATTTAAAATCAATATATTTAAATTTTTTAAAAATAAATTAAAATTTCAAAAATTCACCCCAAGAAATGACAGCTGTAGCTTCCCAACAGACAATTTTTCCTCAAAACTTCCGAAATTTCCACCAATTTGTTAATCAATTTCATCGATTTTTCTAATTTTCTAGCAAAATTTTGCCCAAAACACCTCAACTAAAATTGAAATTTCAAACAACATTAGTAAAAAGATTTGACAAACTAGACGTTCAAAATGCAATATCCTGAATATTAAATTTGATGAATGAGCTTCGCTGTGAACGACATGAATCGTTTTTATTCCGAAATATCCGCAAATTAATAAGGTAAATAAACTTCAAAATTATTATTCTTTCAAATATATTTCACAATTTTTTAATATATTTTATTGGGGGTTCATTTACCAATGATGTTTATTATCTGAAGGGGTTTGTAACTTTCTCGTCAACAGAGTATTGTTTGTACCAATGAGGTTAGAGGGGTCTTAAAAATCCAATTATTTAATAGACATCACATCTGAATGAACCCCAAACAATAAGTCGAAAAACCATAATACAATATTAATAGAAGCACTCGGAGTGAATATGTTTTTTTGTTCAAAAACAGTCTGATGCTAATTTTCTACACCTCGTTAATGTTGATTGACATTTGCGCAACATTAGTCGCATTTATTTGGTCTCGAAATAAAGAAGAGAAGTTTGAAGTAACAAAACAAAGCAAAATAAAAATGAATGATGATGAAAATTCACACTTCCCTACGGAATTGTTGAAATGAAAAAGAATAAAAATTGGAAATAAAATAAATGCGAAATTGCATGACATTGATTGAAAGTTGCTAAAAAGGGAGAAAGAGAAATAATTTTTTTTTTCTGCTTTAATTTTTTGACGCATTTTTTTCTATATTTATGCTGCGAATAAATATGAATGCAAACATTTCTGTTAATGTCACATAAAATAATTTCTAAAGCATACACACATTCTAGATCCGATGAGATATCAGTTGGGAAAATCATCATGTAGATTAATATGGAAAATATTTGTTTCATTTCCACACCCAATTCACTCATTTCATGAATACTAGAGTGGATTCTCACATGCCATGTCTTAAATTGTTACTAATTTTCCGTTGGGGAATGCCTTGACATTTGCTAAATTGGTATATAGTTGATGCGGAGAAAAAGAATATTTATTAGAAATATATTCCATTGTTTTGTAATTGTGTTGAATTGATAGAAATAAAGCCGCTTTAATTAATTGAAGTTCATTGTGTTTCGTATTTTTTGGTTCAATTTCCATTGCTTTAAATGAGACCAAATTTTCAGCTTCAGAAAATGCAAACTTTTAGCATCAGAAGATGGAAACTTTAAGCATCAGAAAATGCAGACTTTAAGCATCAGAAGATGCAAACTTTAAACATCAATAATCGCAAACTTTTAGCAGCAGAAGATGCAAACTTTTAATTTCAAAAGATGCAAACTTTAAGCATCAGAAGATGCAAACCTTTGACATCAGAAATTGCAAACTTTTAGCATCAGAAGATGCAAATTTAAAGCATCAGAAGATGCAAACTTTTAGCATCAGCAGATGCGAATTTTTGGCATCAAAAGATGCAAACACATTATTTGTCCAACAATTAAAAAATAAAATTTCATTTGTCAGCACCTTTAAATTTAACTGACAAACAAATTTTGTAAATTGATGCAAATTTTAAGCATCAGAAGATGCAAACTTTTAGCATCAGCAGATGCGAATTTTTGGCATCAAAAGATGCAAACACATTATTTGTCCAACAATTAAAAAATAAAATTTCATTTGTCAGCACCTTTAAATTTAACTGACAAACTGTGAACAAAATGAATATTACAAAAATTACCCACAATTATAGAAAATTATATATTAAAAAAAGTAAATGTGATGGGCTGACTGCTTCTTGCTTTTGAGACCTAAATAAAAAGGAATATATTTCCTCTCCTCACATTATAATACGTTAAACTATAATACTAACTGCAATTTCAATATACGTCAAAAACATCACGCAAACACTTCACATCAACTGACATTTTAATGAAAATTCTTTTATAAAAGTTTTATTGAAACAATTTCATTTCATTTTATTCCGTTCCGTAGGATACATCATGATATATAAAATGCATAGAAAATCGAGTAAAGAATATAAAAAAAATCATATTGAGATATGAATGGAATAACCGAAAATATATAAAACTTTTTCTCATTTCATGAAAGAGCATAAAAAAAGACATCCGAGATAAAGTTTGAATATGCGACATAAAAAATAAGAGTTGAGGATTCTAATGTCTATAAAAATTAAATCCCGGCATACACAATGCATTGTTAAATTTAGATTGTCAGATATAGACAGAAAGAATGTTGAATTCAACAATAATTGCAATGTGACCACATGTCTAAATTGATGTTGGAATAGAATAAAGAGTTTCTGATGTTGTCTTACAAGTTTTATGGCAGTGGATGGTTAAGAGTTAAAGAATACTAAATTAAAAGTTCATTCGGTGAAAAGAATCGCATCAAAAGTGTGTTAAAAAAAATGATGCAAAAAATTTCGCATCAAATTTATGTTTAGAAAAAATGATGCAAATCATTTCGCATCAAAAGGGTGTTTATTAAAAATGACGCAAAAAATTTCGAATCAAATGTTAAGAAGATTAATCTCTTACAACTAGTGATGCAAAGCTACGCTTCATATCTAATTGAGCAAAAACTAAAACAAATCACGTTGAAAAAGGTTTTACAAGTTTTCAACAAAGATTTTAATCAGAATTCGTTTGTGACTTCCTACTAAATTGTTGCTAAAATTCACAACTCACTAATCCTTTTTCAACCGACATACGTGCCGTGGTTAATTAAAATAAAACAAATTTCCAATTAAACTGTTTTCAATTGTGATGTGGCATAGCTGATTAGATTCTATTGGATTCAATTAATTCTGGGAAAACTTTTGTAAAGTATTGAATGGTTGAATAGATTGTAGTTTGAATTATTAATTACTTTTGAAAGTTCACGAGGGTTTTGAATGTTAATTTGCTTCTGAATATTATTCTTCAAGACCCCAAGCTGTTCAACCACAAATATCTAATCAGCTTCCTCTTGAGATTATTTTTATAATTCAATTACTTTTGTTTTTTTCAATAGCAATTTTTAATCAATAGACTTACAGTCACTTGCGCAACAAAAGAAATTTGATAAGAGCTTTGCCTTAAATTTTAAAATGCCATAATAATATTTTGGCCAATGAAATATTGTAGCGTAGAAAAAAAAGTTAAAAATAACATCAAATTTCCAATCGATAGCTGTTGTCGCAATATTATTTAAATGGATATTCGCGATTAGATTAATTTTTTTCTTTTTCTATATAAGTGGATGCTTGACTGCCTTCAAAATTCAGTTTGTGATATTCTTATTTACCAAAGCTACCTCTTAAAATGTTCAAATTAGTTGCATTGACTGTTCTTTTAGCCCTTTCTGGCACTCAAGCCTTCTGGACAGCCTGTCCAGGAGTTTTAGCACCAACATCAGTTACATCCGATGTTTGCTCAGGATCATCATGTAATGTTAGACTTGGACAAGACTTTTCTGGTGTCGCAACAGTTTCATTCACCCGCGCTCATGCTATTTTAACAACAAGAATCACAATCTACATTGGAGGAGTTGGTGTTGATATTCCACAAGATGCACCCCATGACAATATTTGCAACAGCTTATTCCGTGATGGCGTTTTAACTGGATGTCCAACAACACCAAATGTAGCAACTGAATGGCGTATTAATTTGACAGTTACAAGCAACACACCAACAGTCAATAATGCTCGTGTCCGATGTAAGTTGCAAATAAATTACATAATTTATATAAGGCTTAATAATATTTTATTTTTAGTCGAAGGATTGGAAAATGGAGTATCAGAAGTCTGTGTTGATGTCATGGCTAGTATTGTTGCTTAAATTATTGAATTGTTATGATTGAAATGTGTACAAAATAAAAATTTTAAATTTATTTTGCTAAACAAAAGTTTATGGATTTTGCATTGAGTTTTGATAAATTGTAGAGAAAATATTAAATATAGAATTTTAAACTTTCAGGACTTCTTTAATTACAATTTAATATTTTTTAAGCAAGAAATTTTACAGACTGTATTGTTAGAATAGACCACAAACTGCAGAACTGATCCAAATATAAGTGAATCGGCAATTGTAAAAGTGCAGCTTACCATTTGAGGACACGGGTTCAATTCCCACCAGATGCCAAACTTTAATAAAATTCAGCGAGCTCTATAGCCATGCAATTAGGACAGTTTTAAAATTATCCCATTTATCATTCAAAAGTCAATGGACAGCCTATACATTCCATAGAGTGTTCAACGAATCTCCAATCACCTAACCTTGAACTCTGAGTCAATAAACACTTCTTACAAAATTTCATTAACATCAAAAGAAATCGTGCCATTTTAAAATTTTGCAACTTACAATCCAAAAGTCATCAAGAATTAGCAACAAAAACAGTCGCGTTAATTCCACAGTTTTCAAAAGATTGCAACAAAGTTTTCAGGTGTTCCAATTCAAATGGAATTAGCACACAAAAAAACTGCAAGAAACGAAAGCTTTTTATTATCAGCTACAATACTTTTCTGATAGCAATTGTCGTCAATTAGATAAGTTGATCTGTGCATGGGAATAGAAATCTATATAAAAAGTCTAAATTTCATTTCAAAATTTCAGTTTAAGATATTTCCGCAAACCGAGACTACCTCTTAAAATGTTCAAATTAATTGCATTGACTGTTTTTCTAGCCATTTCTGGCACTCAAGCTTTCTGGACTGCATGCCCAGGAGTTTTGGCACCAACATCTATTACATCTGATGTCTGCTCAGGATCATCATGCAATGTCCAACTTGGACAACAATTTTCTGCTGAAGCAACAATCACATTCACACAAGCACATGCTCGTTTGGACACAAGAATTACTGTCTTTGTTCTTGGTGTTGGCATCAATATTCCACAAGATCCACCTTTAGATAATATTTGCAACAGCTTGTTCCGTGATGGAGTTTTGACTGGATGCCCAACAACACCAGGCGTTGCCACTGTATGGCGTATTAATTTGACTGTAACAAGCAACACACCAACAGTCAATAATGCACGTGTTAGATGTAAGTTTAAAAAGTCGTAATTGATGATATAAGAAATTGCTGATAACTTCCTTTTTATCATATTTTAGTCGAAGGTTTGGAAAATGGCGTATCTCAAGTCTGTGCTGACGTTACTGCAACAATTGCTTAAACAAGTCACTTCTTTAGGGTTGTTTGTAAATGAACTTCATCTTTTTTTTGGGAGGGGGGGGGGGGGGGGGTTATCTAAAAATGTAGAAAAAATTGTAAAATACCAAATAAATAAATATTTAAAAAAAAAATTCAATGTCAAAGAGATTTGCTTTATCTCGCAGCTGCTAAATTGCACTAATTCATCACTTTTTTTGGCACAAAAATAACACTTCATTTGATCTAATTATAGTCTATAACGTATGTTCAAATTAGCTTCATTAGTAGTTCTTCTAACCTTCTCTGCTACTCATTGTTTCTGATCACAATGTCCAGTGATTTTATCTCCAACTTCAATAAAATCAGACTTGTGAAGGAACAACATACAGAGACCAAATCGGACAGGATTTTAGTGCTGAAGCTTATATTACATTCACAGCAGCTCACACTCATTTAGTAATAAGAGCTACAGTCCTCATTTTAGGAATTGGACTCAATATTCCACAAGTTCCTCTAAATGATGATATTTACAATCATATTTACCGTGTTGGTGTTTAAGTTGGATGTCCTAGGTGTTGAACATGTACGGCGCATCACTATGACTGAAGCAAGCAACGTTTCAACATTTAATAATGCTCGTGTTTGATGTAAGTATTGTCTTTTAGGCTTGTCAAAGTTTTGGAACTGTCCTCCAAAATGCCATCAATACCTAGATACGGTGGCACATCTAATGAAACTTATTTTTTGAATATTAATTTTTTTTTTCAGTCGAGAACTTAGTAAATGGAGTTTCACAAGTATGTGCTGTTATGATTGCATCTGTTGCTTAAATGATTAAATTAAATTATGACATTTTTTTAATAAAATTCAAATTTATAAAAGATTTTGATGACTTAGTTATTTTTGTAAACGTTTTTGCAGCAATAACTATAATTAGCATTTATTGCAGAATAACAATCACTCATGTCTTTATATAATTCACGTCTTATGCTTTCCACTTAAAATATCTTGAGTTTTTGAAGGAATAGTTCATCTGTAATGTCCATTAAATTTTTGAATTTTTTTGTCGATGCTTCTGAGTCGATTTCCCGCAATAGCGCCACTTTTCATCTGTCACAAAAAATCTGTCATTTTTTAAACAATGCTAGTCAAAGTTATTTTTAACTTTAACACGCAATTGCTTATTTCCAACCTTTGCCTCAATTATTTTTTGACGCTATTTTCACCGCAAATCTTTAACAAATTTTATTTATAGTCTGCGTATATTTTGGTGTTTCTACAACCAAAATTCTTACCTTTCATCTCTAGTACTTAACTGATAGGCGTTGTCGTCAATGTTTTCAATTAGATTGTACCTAAGATTAGATAAACAGTCTTTAAATTTTGTATAAAAAGACCACCCGCTAGCTCTAAATTTTTAGTTGTGATTCTATCCAGCATAAATAATTTAAAAATGTTCAAATTAGTGCTCTTGTCAGTTCTTTTGGCTCTTTCGGGAACCCAAGCCTTCTGGACAGCTTGTTCAGGAATTTTGGCACCAACCAACATTGTTTCAGATGTCTGCTCAGGATCATCATGCACAGTTAGACGTGGCCAAACATTTACAGCACAAGCAACAATCACATTCACACAAGCTCATGCTCGTTTGGACACAAGAATTACAGTCTTCCTTCTCGGTGTTGGCATCAACGTTCCACAAGATCCACCACATGACAATGTCTGCAACAACTTGTACCGCGATGGTGTTTTAGCTGGATGTCCAACTGTTCCTGGTGCTGCTCACGTTTGGAATATTGAAATGCTTGTAACAAATCTTACCCCAACCGCCAACAATGCTCGTGTCAGATTCGAGGGTTTGGAAAATGGAGTATCACAAGTCTGCGCTGATGTTACTGCAACAATCACTGCTTAAATATTGAATGACTTTTGTGAAAAATGTGCTTGAATAAAATTTATTTGTGAAAAAAAAAATTTTTTTTTGAATTTAATAATTGTGAATTGTTTGGGATTGAACCCTCTTTCCCTCATGAAGGAAGCAATTTTTAAGGTTCCAAAATTGCTTAATTCATAATTTGTTCCAGTCCTGCTTTAAGATGTTCTGAGACGTTGATTTAAGTGTCAAAACGTCACAATTCTTCTCGCTTATAGTCTAGGTCGAGGTGATCGATAGGTCGGTATTGCAACAATCTAGTATCAAAATACAGAACCACAACGTAACCAAGCTTCTTTATATCACATCTTCAAGTAGGGCCAATTATTATTTTGACATGTTGAGTCCTTAAAACAAAAATTTTGCTTGTTTTTGTTTATATCAGATAAATATAAAATGAATTATATCCAAACTTTAACCATTGACCAGCTGCGTATGCAACTTTTAATCAAAACATTCGATAATGATAAATTTTGTATTTTCATAATAAATCGCCCAAATTGTGTAACTAACCTTGATTTTTGACAATCTTATCAAAAGTAATGCAGAGCAATTAGTGAATAATCTTATCATCCTTTACTTCCAATAAGATAAGATTAAAGTTCGTGTCCTTTCCAGTATCAATAGTAGTGCACGTAACTTGTTGTCAAACGCAGCTATTGGAAATTTAGTATAAAAACTGACAATTATAGATTTTCAGTCAGTCGATCGCATATTAAGCACCGGTTGAGTTCTAAGAAAATGTTTAAATTAATCGTATTGGCAGTTTTAGCTGTTGCATCAGCAGATGCTTTCTGGTCAGCATGTAGTGATAATCCAGGCAATGCACCATCAAATGTTGTATCTGCCTCATGCAGTGGAAACTTGTGCACCGTTCAACGTGGAGAATTATTGATTGCTGATGCTACACACACATTTACTGCTGCCCATACACGCTTGGATGTTCGTGTGACTGCCTTCATTCTTGGAATTCCTGTCAACCTACCACAAAGTCCACCAGATGATGATGCATGCAACAGCATGTACCGTGGAGGTTCTCTTGTTGGATGTCCAACAGTTCCAAATGCAGTTCATGTTTGGCGCATTAACTTCTTCATTCCAACAACATACCCAACATTCTCAAATACACGCGTTCGATGTAAGTCATGACTCATGAGCTTGAAAAGTTTATTAATTTTTATTTTTTCTTGTTTTAGTCGAACTCTCCAGCGGTGGTGCTAATGTTCTCTGTACTGATGTTATGGCTACTCTTCTTTAAATGATGACTGCATTTGAAAATTGATTTATTCTCATTATTAATAATAAAAGTTTTGGAACTGAAATTATGAATTTTTCTAATTGTCATGATTCATTTATTACGGAACATTTTTAAGGGAGTGCTGATTGCGATTAACATAACCTCTAAGCTTTATATCCACGAAAGTAGGGATTTTAAGTTAGATTCAAAATTAAGTGATATAATGTGCTGGGATTTTTATTTTGAGGATTAATCTCAAGTGGATATGAAAAATTGAAAATTTTGTGAGAAGTGGAAGAAGGGGTCTTAAGATTCTTTATTTGATTGCTATAAGTTAATGACCCCTTCTTATTGAATTACGTGAAATTACAAGCAAATTTTATTCTCCAAAAAAGTACATTATTATGAGTAAACAAGCATGCTTTCCAGCTAATCTTATCTTTTAAATATTTTTTTTTAAGAATTGTTTATAACTAATTTGACGTTATTCCTAATTTTCAAGTGTTTTGATCCGACTTATTTTCTAAGTTTTATTGATTTATGTCCTCCTAATTGGCAAACTTTAAGATTAAGTTGACTGACTCTTTCAGTAACGTTGACATTTTCTTGTACTATATGAGATCACCTAACGTCACAGTTATGGGACTCGGGACACAAACTCCATTTAAACCTCCCTTGATACTCAACTGCACTCAAGACTTTAAGATTCATGATTCATCTTCTGCAGCTTTAATAGCCCGCCCTTAGTAAATTCCCACAAATTCATCCCAGCAACTTTTATATAACAAAATCAATCACAATTCAGATGCATCGAAAAAACATTGAAACTAAGCATTCAATTCAGCACAGGGTGAAGCTCAAGTAAAGCTTAAAGCTTTTCACTGCTTTTCACAAACAAAAGATACGCAATAAGAACTTTATCAAAGTGAAATTTAAGAAAATTAAATGATAAGATAACTTTATAATTGTATTCTTTAATTAATCGCCATTTTTAGTCACCTCAAATATTATAAAAGCCGACTGATTTTCCAATTTCTCTTCAGTCGATCGTGTGAAAGTTTTATTTCAAGTGAACAATCAAGGACAAGTCAAAATGTTCAAAATTCTTGCATTATTTTTATTAGCTTTGTCATCAACAAATGCATTCTGGACAGCATGTACTGATCGTGCTGGAGCAATCGCTCCCAATAGAGTCGAATCTGCTTCATGCAGTGGAAGCTTGTGCACTGTTGTTCGTGGAGAAACATTAGTTGCTGATGCCTTTGCCACATTCACATCTGCTCACTCTGTTTTGACTGTTCGAGTAACTGCTTACATTCTCGGAATCGGTGTCAATCTTCCTCAAGATCCACCATATGATAATGCTTGCAATAGCATTTTCATTAATGGAGTTATGACTGGATGCCCAACAACGCCAAATGTTGAGTCATTATGGAGAATTCAAATGCTGGTTCCAACCACATATCCAGCATTCCAAAATACACGCGTTCGATGTAAGTTTTCGCTGTGATCCTCAATTGTTACAGCTTTAAAATTAATTTTTTTGTCTTTCCAGATGAACTTCTAGAAAACAATAATGTTGTTGCCTGTGCCAATATTCAAGCCACATTGACATAAATGGACTTTCGAGCAGATCATTATAAAAATCTCGCAATTAGAAATGAAATAAATGAATTTTTTAAAACATAACATATTAGATTGATTTTAATAAACTTTCAGATTCCGTTAACAATTCTCAAATTTCGCGAAAAACCCAAAAAACCTATCCCAATGGCAAATTCCAGAAAATTGTTTTAAAAACTGTGACTGACCTATCAAAAAACCTTGATAATAACCTTCAAAAAATAATAACTCAATTCATCAATTTAATTCCATTCATTAAGACATGTTGAATTGCATTGATAAGCTCCTGATTTCACGGTCTTTATAGCTTTCTTATTTTCTCAATTAGCTTCTATTTGTTTTATCTTAATCTTATTCTTGTGAGCTGAAGTGGCAGTATGATTTAGTGATTAGGTACCCAATTATTACAATACTGTCAATACAGCGATCTGGGTTCAAGACTCGGCATGGGAAATATTTCGATTGTTCTTTTCCGAATCATATGAACTGTTAATGAGGCTCACAACCTTTCTTTGTTGAATCCAGGCAGAAATGTTATCTGAGCAAAATGTCGATTCTGTCTATAAACTGCAGGTCTAGGTGTGATCAGGTTCGAGATCTTATTATTTATTTTTTTTTTTTATTCTTAACAGAACCGATTGCTAGCAAACTTAATTATTCTGTATAGATATCCCTTTATTTTTGGAAGAACTAGATAGTTTCTGTGTCGTTGTAAATTCAGGATTTTTTAAGTGAATCCAGATATTCAAGTAATCACAGGGTGAAGCTGAATAAATTTTATAAACAAAAACTACGCAATAAGAACATTATCAAGGAGAGAATTAAGAGAGTTAAATGATAAGATAACTTTATAATGGTATTATTTAATTAATAAGCTCTATGGGCTATATTTAGTCACATCAATTATTATAAAAGCCGGTTGATTTTCCAATTTCTCTTCAGTCGATCGTGTGTAGTTTTTTGATTCAAGTGAAAAATCAAGGACAAGTCAAAATGTTCAAAATTCTTGCATTATTTTTGTTAGCCTTCTCATCAGCCAATGCATTCTGGTCAGCATGTACTGATCGTGCTGGAGCAATTGCACCCAACAGAATTGAATCTGCTTCATGCAGTGGAAGCTTGTGCAATGTCGTTCGTGGAGAAACATTAGTTGCTGATGCATTTGCCACTTTCGTTAATGTTCATAATGAATTGACTGTTCGAGTAACTGCTTATATACTTGGAATTGGTGTCAATCTTCCTCAGGATCCACCACATGACAGTGCCTGTAACAGCATTTTCATTAATGGAGTTATGACTGGATGCCCAACAACACCAAATGTTGAATCAATCTGGAGAATTATTATGCTTATTCCAACAACATATCCAGCTTTCCAAAATACACGCGTTCGATGTAAGTATTCGCTATGATCCTCAATTGTTACAGCTTTAAAACTAATTTTTTATGTCTTTTCAGTCGAACTTGTTGAAAACAACAGTGTCGTTGCCTGTGCTAATATTCAAGCTACATTGACATAAATGGATTATTAAACAAATTATTATGAAAATCTTATATTAGGATTGAAATAAATAAATTCTTAAAGCATAAAATAAGCATTTGCTGGTTTTGTTTTTAATACTTAAACGTTCATTACTCTATATAATTGTACTAGCTTATATAATGTGGTTAGCAAGAGGTTTAGGCTGTGCGACACTACTGATAACTTAATAATTTTTTTTTGGAACTTACAAAAAGGATGAATCCAAGAATTCAATTAAGCACAGGGTGAACAATTAAAACCAAATAAAATGATAAGATTAATTTACAATTGTATTATTTGATTAATAAGCTCTATTCACCATTGCTATTCAACAAAAGTATAAAAGTCGACTGATTTGCTAATTTCTCGACAGTAGATTGTGCGTAAACTTTTGAATCAAGTCAAAACACAAGAACCCGTCAAGCAAATAAAAATGTACAAAATTCTTGCATTATTTTTGTTAGCCTTTTCATCAGCAAATGCATTCTGGTCAGCATGTACTGATCGTCCTGAAGCAATTGCACCCAATAGAGTTGAATCTGCTTCATGCAGTGGAAGTTTGTGCACTGTCCGTCGTGGAGAAGAACTAAATGCTGATGCATTTATCACATTCGCATCTGCTCACAATGTTTTAACTGTTCGAGTAACTGCTTACATTTTTGGAATTGGTGTCAATCTTCCTCAAGAACCAGGAGCTGATGATGCATGCGACAACCTTTACATTGACGGAGTTAAAGTTCAATGCCCAACTACTCCAAATGTTGAGTCCTTATGGAAACTTGTATTGCTTATTCCAACAACATATCCTGCATTCCAAAATACACGCGTACGATGTAAGTATCTTATGATTTAAAATCATATCAAAATATAAGCATAGCTTAAAAATAAATGTTTTTTAATCCTTATAGTCGAACTGCTTGAAAACAACAATGTTGTCGCCTGTGCTAATATCCAAGCTACATTGACATAAATTCACAGAAATCTTATGTTTAATCAATCCTTAATAAATGAATTAATAAAGCATATGAGAAATTGATTCACAGTTTACATTTCAGGCTTATTATCTTATTGGCAAGAGTTTTCAAGCATTCAAGTTATAAAAATGTAGATCTTCATCACTATTGCTTACATCCGACAGAAATTGAAACAGAAAATTCTATTAATAACTTGTTAAGAAATTCTTGCATCTTTATGTCTATCTGTCTTATAGCTTCACTGTGTAATCAATGCTCAGATCAATCTACTCAATGCACTTGACATTTCATCAAAAGTTGGAACTGACCTAACCGAAAAAACGCAAAAAAAAACATTTTTATCCTTAAAGTTACTATAGCCATAGCATTTCATTTAGAAAAATTCTTGCTAGCCTCCTGAACTGCATCAATGAAAAATCTATAATCCATCAATCAAGCTCTATTCAATTGGACGTGGTGAATTGCATTGATAATCTTTTTGTTGTCTTAAGTTTTACAGCTTTCTTAAGTTATTTTTGCTATATTTTATCTTATCAATCTTATCTGAATACAGCAATTAATTCACATAATCTGTTTTTTTATAAGTACTTACCTCCCAGTGGATATCTTATAATTGTTTTTGACAATTTGATAACATGTCAAGGTAATATTTATTTTTAATAAAGTCTTATCAGTTAAGAGCAGTTTAAAGTAGAATGCGTTTCCTATCTTTTATGACGTATAGCTTGATAACAGTGGATATGGCTGCAATTACTTTTTAACTTAACACCTGCAGAGCATTTGATAATTTATATCTAATGATATTTAATTCTTCAGTGGATTTTATAGATTTGATGGATGGGAATTCCCTTAGTACCAAGATAGACTTATCAACAAGCTTAATTCCATGGAACATTATTCAAGCAGTTAAGTGCCTTGCTGGTCGAAAAGGTAAGGCGCTTGGCTCAAATTTGGTATGGTAACTCGAAAGTCGTCGGTTCGAATCCAGCCATTTCCAAATTTGTTCTTTTTCAGAAGTTTAGATACTTCGACTGCTTAATGTACGAGATCAAGCCATAATTGGGCATTTTGGGCAACGTTGGATTAAGGAACGGATCAGGAACTTGAAGTGTAGCGAGAGAAAAAGGAACGAGAGCTACAAGATTACCCACGAATGGAATATTGTCAGAACGGACCTGAAATGTATCACATCACGCCCACAGAAGATTGAAACGAGAGCCTGAATTTAGTCGAAACCTAGATTTGAAGATTAGAAGCTTGATTCTACGTCACCCATAGTGATATGAAATGTATCACTAATCAATGTAAAAAGTAAAACATGTATAAATACTAATTCTTCCGGACGGTAACGTCGACAATTAATTTATTTTAAATTATATCTTTGGATTGGTCTGATTAATGCAAGGACAAGAATTCATTCAAATATTGTAAGGAACTCATCAAAATGCTGGTTTGTAGCTATGCAACCACCAAACAAGACAAATACTCAACCACAACACTGACAACCAACTAAAATTAATCCAGAACAAAACCTAGTTCTTTAAATTAAATCAAGTCAGGCGTGTAGCCAGGAGGGTCTTGTCCCCCTCTTAAGCATTTTAGGCGCTGCAGTTCAAAACGTTTAAGGTGTGGACAAAACCCTCCTGGCTACTTGCCTGAATCAAGTATATCTAAAATCATATCCAAAAGCTCTATTAATATCCAAGTACACATGCACTTCCAAATCACTTAAAAACAAATTTATCAATCTACAAAGCAATATCAGACTGATAATAAGTAAACCTCCAAAAGTCTACGAAATCACTTGTCGAGAAAACAACACCTGTATAAAATAATCCAAAAAGACACACTTCTAAGAAGAAACAATGTATTTATGCTTAATCTGTTTTATTAAATTTCTTTTATATTTTTTCACTCGTTACAATCCATTTGATAAGTCATTTAAACCAATGTACCTTGAATATCAGCGCAGGCTGCAACAACATTGTTCTCCAAAAGTTCGACTGAAAATATTGAATGAAAAAATTATTAGAATTATCATGGACATTCTTAATGACACATATAAGCTAGGATTCTTAACTTCAAGGCATTCTCGAGTATCCCTTAGGAACTAGCTTTAAATTAAAAATAATATTATAAACTTACATCGAACACGTGAGTTCTGGAATGGTGGATAATTTTCAGAAATAAGCAAGTTAATTCTCCATACGTGTTCTTGTCCTGGAACAGTTGGACATCCGACAAGAACTCCTCCTCGGTACATGAAATTGCAAGCATCATCATATGGTGGCTCTTGTGGAAGATTGATTGGAACTCCAAGAACGAAAGCAGTTACACGAACATCCAAGCGGTTATGGACAGTTGTATAGGTTGCAAAGACATCAGCAATTAATGGTTCACCACGGATTACTGTGCACAAGCTACCACTGCATGATGCAGACTCGACTCTTGTTGGTGCTAAGGCATTTGGTTGATCAGTACATGCTGACCAGAAGGCATCAGCTGATGCAAATGCTAAAACTGCCAATACAATGATTTTATACATCCTTTAAATTTATTTTGAATGATCCAGAAAGTGTCACGAGATCGACTGAAGAGAACATGGCAAGTCTCGTGGTTTTTATAATGAAATGGCTAGCCATACGTCAGTAAGAATTACAGGAATTAAATAATATATTCATTGTATATTATTTATCTTATCAATGAACTTTCGTGATTTCTTCTTGATCATCTAGCTGCGCATTATCTGAGTGAATTATTTATAACAGTTTTCCCCTGGTTTAACGTGATTCAAGGTGTAATCTATTGATAAAATTTTGGTGTCAAAGAATAAGAAACGTGAGCATTCTCCACGAGTTTATATTTTTGGACGTTAGTGTGACTATCAATCACTTCGGATTGGTTAATTATATTCTGGACTTGAATTGATAAGAATTTGTGTTTCAACATTGTACTTAATAATGCATTGAAGTTGAACCACTTGTTTCGGAGGGTCTGATGAGCTCCACAACTGGGGAGGGGGTAGAAATGATAATAAAATTGTAAACATGTTTGTCAAATTTATAGCTAATGAAGGTGCTCATATTAAATTGCAATAAAATTTTCCACTTTCACAACAGTGCTTATTATAAACAAAATTGATAAGATAAACTCTTAATTACTTTACTTTCCGGCTAATTCATGGCCACTCAATTGATTATTTAAAACCACAAAATTTGATAAACTTATTCAGTCGTTCGCAATTCGCCATTCAGTTCAAGTGGAAAGGTTCAAAAATGTACAAAATTCTTGCTTTATTCTTACTCGCAGTGTCATCTGCAAGTGCATTCTGGTCAGCATGTTCAGATCATCCAGGAGTTTTGGCACCCACAAGCATCACATCACCCGCATGTACTGGAAGTCTTTGTACTGTTGTTCGAGGAGAAGTATTGAATAGTGATGTCTATTTTGTATTTCCAACTGCCCATAGTCGTTTGGATGTGAGAATTTCTGTCATTCTTTATGGAGTTGAAGTCAACATTCCACTTGAAGCACCTTATGATGATGCCTGCAATTTCATGTACCGAGGAGGCGCATTTGTTGGATGTCCAACTGTGTCAGGTCAAGAGCATTTATGGAAAATTGGAATGGAAATTCCTCATGAATATCCTGCATTCAACAACGAAGTTGTCAGATGTAAGTTTTGAATGGCATTGTTTGAGGTTAGAATTTACTCGACATATTCTTTTTGTATTTTTAGATGAACTTTTCGAGTCTGGTGCTCGTGTTGCTTGTGCTGATCTTCTAACAACTGTTCTTTAAAGAATTTTTGAATTAAATTTTGATGAAATATTGAAATAAAATTATTTTTAAAATTAATTTAATTAATAAATGTTTTTACATTTAAAAAGCCCACGTAATAAGTGAACGACCCCCGACAGCATTAGTTAACTTTTCAAAATTAATCTACATAATTAAAATACTAAACAAAATCATCCAACTCTACATGAAATCACCAAAGAAACAAACTCTTTTGATCTAGATCCAATATTTTACTGCTAATTAATTGCTTCTTTAGAAGACTGTCATAAAGATAAGTTATAAGCCGTTCGTTTAACAAGTTTCAAAATAAAAATTTCAGTGAACTTAATCCCACCTCATTTGAAATGCGAACAGAAGATTTTTTTTTTTCTATTGGTAAAAAATTACTCTGAATTTCTAATTTTAATACTCTTTATTTTTCGGTAAGCGACAGAAGAAAAGATGGGATTTCGCATTAAAGTTGGGATGTGTGAGGTTTCAAAGCGCATTTTTCTAGATTTTCTTTAAAATCATTGAATCGGCCCCGAATAGAACAAGTCAATTAATCGAATAGAAAAACATTAAAGAGCCTTCATTACTCTAGGATGGAACTGGACTCAAATCGAATCCAAATAAATGCCAGAGTTATGGCAGATTCGTGTTGGATGTCTATTCGATTAAACGACTTGTGCTATTCAAGATCATGATTTGTACAACTACACCAGTTGAGTTTTGAACTCTAGTTCTGACCTTATTACTTACTTCGCTGGTCATACAGATCAATTGTGATCCATGACCTCCTTTAGTCGTCCCCTAAAACTAGCTCTATCACTGGCTACCGTCTGCCAATTGCCGATTCCAAATGCAACACTGTCTCTATCAACAGCCTCTTTTCATGAGTTCTTTGGCCTTCCACATGATCTCTTTCTATTTACAAAATCGGATCTGACCTTATTGCTAACCAAAAAAAGTGTCGATTTTTTTTAGGTTAAATGTGCTTGGTTTGGACTTGGTTTTACTTGGATTGCAGTATCTCAAGGTTATCACACTATGAAGGAACACATTGCTTGGCTTTCTGATCTGTTGTATATGCAGCGACCTAGTGGATAGTATACGTACTAAGAATCAATCAGTTCCTAGTTAATGCCAAGCCTCTTTATAAATATGTGCCAACTATGAATATAACCAACAGACAGACAGATGCACATTAGCTAGCAAATCCTCAAAAGTTTGCTAAAAAGCCGTCATGAACATTCAACATTGTTTTATCTTTTCAGCATTAAGCGACACACTTAACCATAAAGTCATAAAAGTATATGATTTATTGGATGTGATATTCTTCTTTATTTTATATTTTTTGCGCCTCTTAAAAAGAATCTCTTTTGCATATGTGTCGTTAAGCGAACGACAGAATTATATAAAATCAACAGTTAATTTCAAGAGTTTAAAGTAAAATAGTAATTCTTTTAGTGCTATATTAAATTTACAATGTACATGCATATTTCATGCATATTTATAAGTAATTATTGATAGCAAAAGGAATCTTTAAGTAATATATACACATTTGTAACGATCATTTACGATTAGAAGTTTCGCATCTTTTTTGAGCTTGAGAAATACCAAGCAATTAGAAGTAAAAAGTTCTTTCCCTTCGTATCGTGATCGAGTTAACACGTCTTGTTACAATTTTTCTAAAACCTCCCCTTATGGTTTAATTAGTGGAACCCAATAAAGTGAAATAAGTGTTAAAAGAAAATTATCGATTTGTTACTCAATCACATCTTTTAGAAAAATTTACAAATTTGAGAAAAATTTAGTGCTTAACCTTAATTTGAGAAATTAAAAGAAAGCTAATGCTTTAGAGCTTTGAATTGGCTATTAATTAGTTATTTTAGTGCTGTAACTGTTGAATAAGTGGAAATTGATTAAGTTTGAATAAAACACGTGGAAGTCTCGCGTATTTAGTCTCGCAAAAGTCACGCGATATAATTTCGGCATCAAAAAGTTAATCTTTTCTACTTTGACGTCATATTGAGCATTATTCGACATCCAGAAGCATAATAGAACACATTATATTGAATAAGTTGGCCAGAAATCAACATCCAGTAACCTCTGTAGTAAGTACAATAGAATAGTTAACCATTTTGTTTGTTTTTCTCTTCCTCGTGCATTCATATTGATTTGTTGTCAAGTAACAAATCAATCAAGTTCAAGGCTACAGAGGCAATCAATTTCTGGTCAGCAAGCCAATCAAGAGGCACATTTCAAGCCAATCAAGTGGCAAAATTTGCATCGAATTTACTCAAATTTATAGTCACCAAACAAGAGGTGACTTACCGCCATACAACAGGCACCAAACAATCAGTTTGGACATCAAGGAAGTCGTCGAGCAAAAGACGCATCGTCAGTCACTTGTGAGATAAGTGCATCAGCTAGGCATCGAAAGGGTGCAACAAGTTAAGTCGTCGAGCAAAGGACGCATCAGTTAGTCACTACAAGAGTGCAACATTCAAGTCGTCAGAAGAAAGGCGCATCAAATAGTCATCAAGAAGGTGAAACATTAGAAGTCACTATATCAAGTGCAACAATTAGTCACTTAAGATAAAAGTGCATCAATTCAAGTAGAAGGGAAGCATTTGAGGACGGCAATACGTTAATTGTATCTTCATCTTATCATTTATTGCTAACAAGTAGCAAATAGTCATCAAGTCGTTTGTGAAACGCAATACAAATTTGCAAAAGTGAACAAGTCACTTTAAGATTATAAAGTTACATTAAATAGACATCAGAACATCAAGCATCATGACAAGTGCTGAAGAACTCGGAAGTTTAGCTCAACATTTTATCAGTGTTCCTGATGCTAAGGCACAGTATCGTGCAAAATATGCGACGAGCAAAGTCGTAAACAATTATATTTTCTGCATTCAATTAATGAGAGAAAATGCTAGATGCGGTTTAGATAATGACTGCAAATGGTTCGCGGCCCAGCAATCTGAACGTGAATATGAGGATTTACAAAAGATGGTGCTATGCATAACGTGTGATAATGTTTATCACTTACGCTGTTCCGGAACTGATTTTGCTGCTGTAACTGAACAACAACTTCCATGGATGTGTGCGAAATGTTTGAGGAATCCCATGAATGCTGACGCACAAGGCTTAGTCAGCGCAGGAACTCATACATTGTCATTTGATGAGAGAATCAAATGCTATATCAAAGTCAATGTACGCGAAGAAGAGTCATCAGATTCAAGTGCTGATGAATATGTTGAAGGGACTGTACATATTGATGCTAATGGTAGCGTAGTATCAAAAAATCTGAGGACCGATGTAAGCAAGTTACAAAGGAAATATAAGTCCATTAAGAAGTCCAACAAGGAATTAAGGAATCTGGTAATAGCGCAGTCAGATCAACTTACTCAAATAATGGAATTACTAAAGTCATCACAAAATGCAGGTTTGCTTGGAGCAAGTCCAAGTAGAATCGCACAAGGTACAGTAGAGTCATTAAGGCCACAATATACATCATTCACAAATGCGGTGTTAAATGCAAATAAAGCATCTACGCGCATTGATGATGAAATTAAAAGATCAAGTCAAGTAATTGAGGAAATGATTGGAGGATCAACTAGCAACGAAGCAATTCAGAAACCTTCATCACATCCACCGGAAATAAGTGACAATGAGAGTCACATTGAAACAACTTTGAGGCAGCTCAACAAGCTGTCGTTGAATGAAATTCGTCGTAACTTACCAAAGATTGAAAAGTTTGACGGAAATCCTGAAAGATGGTTGACGTTTGAAAGAGCAGTTATGAGGAACTGGAAAGAAGGAGAATATACTGATGACCAAATAAAGTCTCACATCAGACAAGCATTAACGGGACAAGCCCTAGCACGTGTTGATAGTTTATATCTGAATATGTCATCACAGAGACTTATGGATTATTTGAAGGATAGTTTTGGGAATGCATCGATTGTTGTAGAGAGTGCTCGCTCAAAGTTGATGAGTGCTAAATTATCCAAACCCTTAACTCATGCATCATGTGTTGAAGTAACAACAAGAATAGCAAACTTTATGGCAGCATGCAGTTATGCTGGAATAACAATAGCAGACACAAGCATTTCATCAAAACTTCACATGCAGCTTGAACCGTATCATCAAGAGTTATATTACAAATTCTTTTATGAAAAGAATCCAAAGGCCATTACAAGAATGGAACGATTGGACGTTCAGTTTGAGTTTTTGAACAATCTTTCAAAAACACTTCCGTTAGGACAGTTCAAATTTGAGGATGATAAAGGAAGCAAGAATAAAGAGAAGGATTATCAAATGATGACAGCATCATGCAGCAACAACACATTCCAAGGTTCGTCATATAATTCAGATGACTACAAATACGAGATCAGAGATAATCAGACAGCAACATACTTAGGATACAACTTAGAGAAAGTGAAGGAAATTCCAAAGAAGTGTGAAATTTGCTCAGGTACCAATCATTACACTGTAGAGTGCAAGACTTATCGTGAAATGAAAATGGATGAAAGGTATAACACCGTTAGGACTAAACATTTATGCATAAACTGCTTATTATCAACGCAGCATTTTGCAAAGGATTGTGATGTCAAACGAAGTTGTGGATTTAAAGTAGATAAATCTACAAGATGTTCAGCAAAACATCATATTACTCTTCATCGTGGTAAGAGTGAATACAATTACGGCAAACCGAAGAAGAAGCCGAAACAAAGCAGCGATTCGTCTTCAAGTTCATCGTCATCAGATGAAGAGAACAGTTCAGTAACCAACAAGGAAGTACAACTAGACGAAGATGAAATACTTTCAAAGCCACAGGACAAGTGATCTTCTGGGGCGCGCGAGGATGTCGTTAAGCGAACGACAGAATTATATAAAATCAACAGTTAATTTCAAGAGTTTAAAGTAAAATAGTAATTCTTTTAGTGCTATATTAAATTTACAATGTACATGCATATTTCATGCATATTTATAAGTAATTATTGATAGCAAAAGGAATCTTTAAGTAATATATACACATTTGTAACGATCATTTACGATTAGAAGTTTCGCATCTTTTTTGAGCTTGAGAAATACCAAGCAATTAGAAGTAAAAAGTTCTTTCCCTTCGTA